TTTGGAATTACCTGTCATGTGATTTGAGGCACCCGTATCTGTTGTCCATTCGGTGTCTTGTACTAATGTATCAAGTGTGAGGGCAGCAAGAGCATGAGGAATTTCTTCGCCACAAAATTGTTTATCTTTATACCAATAGATGGATGCAATATGTCCAACTCTATCACAAATCTGACATTTTTCATAGCGGTATCGTTCATGCTCTACAGGAGTCATTCGACGAAAATGAGTCCCTTCAAAGTGAATAGGTCCAGTTCGAGATCTTCGTTTTTCATTTCGGCCTCTAGAAGTGTTTGTATTTGTGGGTTGGAACCCTCGGCCTTGGGAGGTGAAAACATGTCCAGAGGACCGATTTTTATTGCTTTCCTGAGCAGAAAAATGGTTGTTATTACCTTGTTGATTCCTTTGTTGTTGACCGTAGAAAGCAAGATGTTGAGGTTCATGCCATTGAATGCATTGTTCATACCCTTGAAGTAAGGAAATGACCTCTGAGTAACCAGTCATGGGCGATTTCAGCATTCTGGTGGTGAAGTCTCATAATGTGGACCTAGACTTGTGAGGAGAGAGTAGACTTTCTCTCGGTCTTGTACTGGACGACCAATACCTGCAAGACTATCACACAGCCTTTTAAATTGACGAAGATGCTCAGTTAAGGGAGTTGTAGCATCTTTCTTGAGATAGGTAAGTTGTTGGAGCAGAGTGAATTCTCTCTCTTGCGAGTCTTGGGCATAAGCTTCTCGAAGTCCTTCCCAAACTTGTTTGGCAATTTGAAGACCAACAACCAGACCAAGAGCTTCCTCTGTCAAGGTGCCAATGATCCACTCTCGAAGGAGACGATCTGATTTTCTCCATTTGAGGTAGTCTTCACTGAATATAGGTTTGTCTGTTTTTGCAGTTTCTGGAGTGTAAGTGGCTGGGATGTCCAATTCTCCATTGAGATGATCAAACAGATCTTGGCTTTCGGCTAGTGAAATGACTTGCTCCCGCCACAGTAGGTAATTTTCTGGGTTAAGTTTGATGTTAACAAAGTTGCTGACATTGAGAGAGATACTGGCCATGGTTACAGTAGAAGAAATGAGACCCGCTCTGATACCAAGAAGAAAGTACTGGTTTAAGAGTCTCACCTCAACGTGCTGGAGACTGTACAATTGTTTCTATTTATATTGATTCCATGTGCTGTAGAGATATTACAATCTTTTATTTATTTTTGGCATTTCCTAATAGAAACAAAATCTATTCTAAATCAGGTATGTAAATGACTGGTGAATTCCTTGATTGTTGTAATTGTTGGACAGAATTGGGAAAACACTTTGGCTGGCTTGATTGATTCTAGGCTAAATGGATGTTGGCTGTCTTGGAAGGCTTTCCATTGAATTGATTGCTTGTAAAGGACTGGGATTCCTTTTGTGTGCAACTAGATTGGCTTCTTTCCTTTTCTTCCTTGTCTTTCCAAGTAATGTTCCTGCTAATATAACTCTCCAAATTCGCTCTCTATAATTAAATACACTCAAAGTATTTCAATTTTCAATTGAGGTAAATAATATAACAATTTGGAGGAAAACTAGTAAAAATAAAAGATAGAAAAAATAATAATAAATACTCTTTGAGAGTAGTAAAATTAGGTATTAAATAAAGAGCCAATTGGATTACATAAAAAGTTTCGCTCTCTGAATTGTAGAATATATTTTTAAAAAATAGAGAGTCTCTTAAAAAGGTTCTTAGTCATTTCCATTGTAAATATTGCGATTTAGTTTAAATTAGTAGAATGATAGATTTATGCACTTGAAGACGGATAACTAGATGCTCCACGGATTTAAGAAACGGTTGATTATAAAAACTTTCTATGTGGATGAACAAAAATAGAAATTGATAGAATTTTATATAAAAAGGAACAAAATGTTGGTGATTGAAAAGTTAATCCACTGTTGGATTTGAAGACGACATTCATACAACTTCTAGCGTCGACGATGAGTTCGTGATCTTGGTTTCAACAATGAATGGCAACAGGAAAATAGATCTTCTCCAACCTTCCTCGGATGCTTTTCGTCGAGAAAGAAAGCAAATAATAACAAAGATTAATTAGACAAGTTTTTTCTTCATCATCTTAGATAGATAAATAGACACAAATCATCGCACTAATCTAATAGATGTGGCAACAAGTCAAATAGCGGAGTCGTTGAAAACAATAGCAGCTCCTTCTCCAACTTGTGTTCTCTCGAGTAGAAGAACTCAAGTGATCATCTTCTTGCCCGCTTCTAATCCTTATTTATGCCTTATTCCAAAACATTTCATTATTTTCTAAGTAGGGGTATAAATTTGGTCCACATGCTCAAGCAACCCATGGCTCGATCCGGAAAAAGTATGAGTCTATCCCCCAAAAAGTCCGAGCCAAAACTCGAACCAAGCCTCATTTTAGGGAGTTGACTTGAGTTCGATCTAGCCCAAGTGGCTCATCAAGCCACAAGGGCCATTCCTGCTCGTCAGGCGTAGCAGCCTACTAAAGCAGTTGTTGCCAGCTGTCATAACTAGCTAGCTTAATAGGCAGCACAACAGGCAGTTGCTGCCAATTTCCTCAACATGTAGCTATGTAATTTTTAAAAAATTACATAATTTTTTTAAAAAAAAAGTATATTTAAAAAAAATACATAATTTTAAAAGTAACTAGCAGATATGCCCCCAAAAAAATACTTAGTTTTTTTAAAAAAATACATAATTTTTAGATTTGTTTATATCAATAAAAATTGTGTACGAAATATTGTATTCATGTACAATTTTAACTCCACCCAAGTTAATTGTAGTTGATCCCACGCTCGAAAAGAGAGACAGAGGGGAGTATTATAACTTTTATTTAATTTAAAATTCGTATAAATTACACAAATTTTAAATTCTTTAAATAAATATTAGATTTGTCACAAATTAGGAAAAAAGCGAGCCGACTCGAATCGCTAAGACTCAAGTCGAAAGCTCGGGTCGAGTCTTAATTTTTTGGTCCAGCAAAAGCTTGGCTCGGCTTAAGCCAAATAAAAAAAAAAAAAAAAAAAACAATTTTTACAA